GGGACGGATCGACACTAACGGCACGGTCAGGTGCGTCCACAGGGGTCCCGCGGGGCCCGCGCCTCGAAATGCCCGCGCCCAAGACTATGGCTGGGCCGTCGGCGCCTTCCGCGGCGGCCCTAGGCGCTGCAGGCCGCCTCTGGCCCGCGGAGCTCCTCCGTCCCCCCCTACTCCAAAGCCAGGACCCATGCCCTTGCCGATTCGCAGGCCCCTTCTCAGCGAATCCCTCGCACCCACCCTCCCGCCGCCCTCCCAACCGCCGCCCCGCAGCTGCTTCATCACGGAGCGGTTCGGCCCCCTCAACTTCCTGCTCAGCGCGGAGCTCGAGCACGCGTCGAAGAACTACAAGTTTGGCTTTGGCTTCTCGCTCGGCGAGTGACGCCATCGTTTGACCGACGTTTGACCGGCGGCGGGCTCGCTGGCTGGACGGCAGTGGCGGAGCCCCTTGCCCTGCGCTGAGTGGCGCGCACACGCGGAGGGGCAGCGCCAGCTGCAGTAGCAGCAGCAGTAGCAGCAGCAGCAGCAGCAGCAGGAGCAAAGCGGGCCGTGCGCTGCAGCGCAGGTGGCGCGCGCGCTGCGGCCCGGCTTTGGCCCTCTCTAGGCGCGTTTCCCCCTCTCGCGGCAGGCCCCAGCCAGGAGGGGTTCACATGCGAGCAGCCTTTGAGGCACGTGTCCTGCGCATCCGAGGTTCTTTCTCTTCTTTTTTCCGGAACCCTGCGCATGCCGCAGCCCCTCTTTTCTGGTCTCTTGTTTGTGCATCGTTCTGTGGTGGTGGCACTTCCTCTGTGTTGTCAGCATCCAAGCGCGTACCGCTTTCCTTAGGTCTCCTTTGACCAGCGTTGCCGCCGTGTGTTTTGATCGCGGCGGCGTGCAGTGTGCAGGAAGGCAACAAGTGCTTCGGCGCCGCCGACAGCGGGCCGCTGCCCGGCGCCCGCTGCGCCGCCGCCCCGCCCGTCCACCCGCCCCATTCGCGGCACGTCGAGTCGCGCCACGTCCTAGGTTGCGACACTGCACACTGAATTTCTTGCTTTGTGTCGTGCAGGGGCCGGCCGTCGGACGACGCAGGGGACTCTGGGTAACCCAGTCGTTTCATGGCTGGCGCTGCTGCGAGGTTGGGGGCCGCCCCATCTCAGGCGTGTGGGACGGGTAAGGGGGAGGGCATGCAGTGGGTCAGCCTCTGCTGGGCCACACGAGCAGCGCTCCGACCTTGCAAGCATTGAAGTCGTAGGCGGGGGTGGATCCGGCATGCATATACTTGAAAAACATCGCATCGTGGTTAACAAGCCGAGCATGTGAGGCTTTGCCAGATTTTGGATGTATGACTGAAGGTTGACTCACTGGCAATCCCATTGACTGCCTCGCATGTGGGCAGAAGGCCTTTGCCCAACTTGCTGGACATGCAAACATATGGCCGATGCTCCCTGCTCTCCCAAGTCTGATCGGACACTCGCAGCCTTCTGGACATTGGCAGGTGAGCGCGAGCTGGTGACGTGCCCTCAGGAGTCTATTCCCTGCTTGCAGCCAGCTTGTGAGCACCAGCGCACCGTTTGCGCCGTTCAGTAGTACTCAGCTGCAGCACCAGCACACTCGCAGCACATTCTCCTGAAGTCAGAGCACAATTTCTGCATGATCGTAGATCGATCAGAACCGGTACCCTTCGCCCACCAAAAGTATTTCAAAGTCAAGGCTGTGAAACAAGCTCTCACATAACCACAATCTATTTTGAAGTGCGGCATTTGAGATCTGCTAGCCAGCTTGCAGCTAGCCTCGACCTCTAGCATCCGCGTAGAAATTATGCGGCATGGCTGACACAGAAGACGATACCGGCGGAGTGCCTGTGGAGCAGGGGCTGGCCACCCAGTCCATTGCGGCCTTGGATGCCTCGAGGCAAAATGGCGCGACGGGGCAAAAGCAGCAGCAGCAGCAGCAGCAGCAGCAGCAGGTGCAGCAGGTGCAGCAGCAGCAACACCAACAGCAGCGGGTGATGGACGCAGCCGTCCCGGACATATCCCCCGCAAATGGGCCTTCGAATTTCACGCGGCAGTTACCAACCGGCGCCCCGCCTGAACGGCTGGGCGCGGCCGGCATCAGCGGCGGCGGTAGTGAAGCAAAGCCCGGGGGCGCGCCACCAGGCCACCAGCAGCAGCATAGTAATGGAGATGAAATGCAGGAGAAGAACTTGGGCGCATTGTCTGAAGAAACCAGGAGTGTGTCCCCACAGCCCGGCCCGCGCAGCGGCAGCGGCGGTCACGGCGGTGCGGCAGGCGCAGGCGGCGGCGGCGGCAACGGAGGAAATCGCTCGCCGTCGGCTGCGCGGGGCGTGCCTGGATCTGTCAGACAGGCTGGGTCGACCGGGCCTGCAGGCGACGCCTCGGAAGTAGAGAGCGAGGGCGCGGCGGCCGGCCGTGATGCGCGACGGCGCCCAGCCAACGGCGGCAGCGGCGGCGGCGGCGACGGCGACGCCACCAGCGGCGGCGGCGGCGGCGCCACAACAGACTGCGGGGAAGGGGGC